CTAAGCCCCTAAACCCTAACCCGAAACCCTAAACCCTAAACTCGAAACCCTAAACTCGAAACCCTGGACCCTAAACCCTAAACCCTGAACTCTAAACCCTAAACCCTAAACCCGAAGTCCTAAACTCTAAACCCTAAACCCTAAACCCTAAAACCCTAAACCTGAACCCTAAACCCTAAACCCTGGCGAGTGGCGATGGCGTGGTCCTTCACGATAGCCTAGGGCACGGAGAGGTGGTACTCGACCCCGTCCCCGGGACTCCCATAGGGTTTAGGGTTTAGGGCGCAGCGCAGAAGCTGCAATTCTGGACAGCGGGTTTCATCCGCCCGAGCAGTTTCATGGACAACGACGGGGAATGGACCCCGTCCCGAGGCTGTATAGGGTTGGAGTGCAGGAGGTGCTGCCTCGTTCTTCGCGATCCTCCATCCAGAAGTGTCACAGTTTTACAGCCGTGCACGTGCACATGACTGGCAAAGCCAGGATGTGCGATTATTGTTCTTGTTAGTAGTAGTAGTAGTAGTAGTAGTAGTAGTAGTAGTAGTAGTAGTACCTGCAGTAGTACCTGCAGTAGCATCAGCAGCAGTAGCAGAGGCAGCAGGAGGAGTAGTAGAAGTATTCCTGGGCCTGGAGCTTCCCCGATGGAAATCGCCCTACAGTGCCCCTTCTGGATCTGTTTTCCGCGCTGCTTATGAAGCCCTTGTAGTTTCCTTGTCGAACCCTGACAGTAGCCTCAAAGCAACCTTTGTAGAACTTTAGTTCCCCTAAACCCTAAACCCTAAACCCTAAAACCATAAAACCCTAAAGCCCTAAACCCCTAAAGCCCCAAACCGTATAACCCCGGATGTGTCGCAGGCCGACTACTCGGACGGTAGGCCATCGCTGGCGATTGAGACCTGCTTGCTGTGGCAGGCCGAAGCCTAGCTCGTGGGATTTAGGACATAACGGTTTTGGGGTTTTAAGGGTTTCTGGGGGTTTAGGGGTTAGGGTTTAAGGGTTTCAGGAGAAGTTTCAGGGCTTTGGGGGTTTTTAGGGTTTAGAGTTTGAGTTCAGGCTGTTCGGGTTTAGTGTTTGGGGTTGCTGTGTTATCATTTCTTGGCTTGCTGCTGGCTTGTAGGACCGTTGTAGTCTCAATACCGAAGTTTTGGGCTGATGGAGAAAAGGAATGCGCTAAAGGGACCGTAATTATTCTTGGAATAGGGTCCTAGCGTATTCATTATCACTACGGAACAGATTAGTGAGCCTCACTAATCCTTACCCCCAAGCCCCCTACAGACCTTAAACTTAAACCCTGAAGCCCTAAACCAAAAGCCCCAAAGCCTGAAACATCCCTAGACCCTAAACCCTAAACTCTAAACCCTAAAACCCCTTAGCCCCTAAACCCTAAACTCTAAAGCCTAGACCTTACCCAGAGACCTTTGGGGCTAAGCCTTAAAGCCCTGGAGGCTTGAGCCTCAAACCCGAAAGCCCTGTGCCCGAAACCTTAGACCCTAAAGCCCTAGACCCTAAGCCCTAAACCCTAAACCTCTAAAGCCCTAGACCCTAAGCCTTCGAAGGTGTAACCCTGAGACCCCCCAATTACCCTCGAGGATACCCTAAATATCCACTAGGACCTTAGGGGCTCCATTAAAGGGCACCTGGGGTTTAGGGTTTAGGGTTTGGGGTGTACCCATAGGCCCTAAAGTCGTTCCTTTTTGGGGTTCACATATAGAATCCTATAAGATAATCCCAAAAAGGAACTACTATGGGGCCTATGGGTCAGGTTTAGGGCACCCTAAACCCTAAACCCCTAAACCCTAAACCCTAAACCCTAAACCCCTAAACCCTAAACTTTTGGGGTTTAGGGTTTAGGGTTTATGAGGGGGGTCCTGTCTAGGACATTTTCAGGAAAGGGTAGTTGCCGTTATAGGAACCTTATAGAAGGTCTATATACCTTATGGAAGCCTTATAGAAGCCCTATATTCCCTGAACTCCCCACGTGTAGTTTCCTCTAATGGTAACCCTGAGACTTTGGGGCAGGAAAGTTGAGAAGCGACGTCAGCGGAAGGCGGTTCGAGGAGGCCTCGATCTCGGTCTTTGGGGGTTTAGAGATGAGGGTTGCAGGTTTTGGTGTAGGGTTTAGGGTTTAGGGTTTAGGGTTTAGGGTTTAGGGTTGAGGGTCTTGTGGTTTCGGATTTAGAGATGAGGGTTCAGGGTTTAGAGATGGGTTTTCGGGTTTAGGTTTCAGGGCTTGGAGATGAGGGTTGAGGGTGAGGGTTTAGGGTTTGGAGATTTGAGTGCAGGGCTCGAGGTTTATAGGGCCTTGCGAGGGTTATAGATTTTAAGGTTTAGGGGGTACGGGGCACGGCGTAAACTTCAAGATTTTTGGGTTTTGGATTTTGTTTTTTTTTCGGTTTGGGGCTTAAGGTTTAGTACTGATTGCTAGGTTTCGGGTTTAAGGTCAGAGGTTCGAATACCTACTTAAGAACCATTAGCCCGTCAAGAACATGAACTTATAGCGCAATTATCTTAATCCAAGAACCTATAGTTATTGGCTCCTGTGGACCCTTTGGTGGAGGGTGTGGAGGTTTTAGGGTTTAGGGCTGGGGGCCTAGGATTTCGGCTCAGCTGAGGTGCCTAGAGCTTGCGGGGTGAGGACTGTTGGAGTTCGGAGTTGAGGGGTTCGGGTTTAGGTTTGAGGGGTTCGGGGTTATATGGGTTAGGGTTTAGGGTTTAGGGTTTAGGTTCAGGGTTTAGGGGTTTAGGTTTTAGGGTAGCTTGGGGGGGCGGGGGGAGATGGGCATTGGCCCCGAAAATCCTAGGTAGGAAGCGGTGCAAGGCCGAAGCACATACAGAGTAGGAGCATGGACGCTCTCTTTCATTCACCGATGTGCATGCTCGCAAGTCTGGTAGAGGTTGAGGTATTGCAGGAGCCTTAATGCAGCCTTCACTATTGAAATAAGGCTATAAGGGGTTATGTATAGTCTACTCGACGAAAAGCCCCTACTATCAACGGTTTCAACAGCTCAAGCGTAAACCCTAGAATTCACAGGAACCCTACAACAAATACACTCTGTACGTTGAGTCAAGGTAAACCCTATCCATAAACTCCACGGGCGCCCGACTGGGGCTGAAAACATAAACTTTACCTATAGTCTCCATTGTAGCTCCTTTTGGGGTACTTTATAAATTCCTTAATATATAACTGGTTAAACCAAATAAAGGAACTACAATGGAGACTATAGGTAAGCCTCAACACTGCAAGCCGGCCCGGAGCCATGAGCATGGAATCTTGCACATTATCCCGAACCCGCCTGAAACCCTACACCCTAAGTCCTCAAAAAGCTCCATCTAAACCCTAGACACAAGCCCCAGACCCCTCTGGCCCATCGCTTAACCCCAACACTGCTCAAATCTTACCCACTTCACCCCCCGAACCGAACCTCGAAACTTCAAAGCCGAAGCCCAAAATCCTAAACCCTTAGGCCCAAAACCCTTAGGTTCGAAACCCAAGGTTTAAAGTTGAGGGGTTTAGAGTTTATAGGGGTTGGGGGTTTAGGGCCCTAAGCCCTGTACCCTCAACCCTCAACCCGCAGCCTTGCGCAAGGCCGGCAAGGACGCAACGCAGAGGGCAAGGGCGAGCATGTCGTGGACTTGGACCCCTGGCTGACTTCAGTTGGAGGGGATGCGGCATAGTAAGGTAGGGGCCTAAATTAGAGGATTTAGGATGTAGGGTTCTTTAAACTAGGGTCCTGTGGGGTTTAGGATCTGGGATTCAGGGTGTGATATGGGGGCCTAAATCATGACCAAGACTATTTGGGGGGTTTCCGTATTATACTGTATATATATATATATATATAATGAGCCCCAAAACCCTATTCTGATTCTTTAGGCCCCTATATTCGGCTTTGCCTGCGGTTCTTTGTTAAATTGTTATGGCTTCCATATTATAATACTTAGTTCCCCAAGACCCAACCTTTAAACTTTTTGGGTTCTTTATAGTTTAGTAGTATTCTGAAAGTTCAACCTTGTATTTCCCTGGCCTATTGGCGAAGTAAGAATATGTAGTTCTCTAAAAAGGTAGGTCTTTTGTTTGGGGAAAAGGCGGGGTTTAGGGTGCCTTCATGTTCTGGGGTCTCTTATTTTGGAAAGGTATAACGGCATAAGAGAATAGGGTACTGATGAAGTGGGCTCCTCGGGGGAAGCCACGGTTTAGGGTTTAGGGTTTAGGGTTTAGGGTTTAGGGCTTAGGGTAGGTTGGGGAAGCTTTGGTTGTGGGTTGATTGTTTCCGCTGCAGAAAGCAGGGTTTACAGCAACTCCCCCATAACGTTCGCCCCCGCCAAAGTCAACACAAACGTGAAATGTCGTCCTTTGGATCGACGGATGTCATCATCATTGCTGACCCGGATTCACTGGTTGTGGATGCGGTCGGGGCGCAAATTATTCTGTTTGCCAACTGCTCTGTGTACTGTAGAATTCAGTACTTCGAAATTGAGTATGCTGTCTATAGGACGTCATTATGTCAGATGGGCTCGTAACCAAAGCGGGTTGAAGTTGGGTTTAGGGTAGAGAGTTTAGGTTTTTAGGACCTTCTGAATCTTGGGTTTCGGAACTTTGGATTTAGGGCTGACGATTGGGATGGTAGTCGGGTCTTGAAGTGTTTATAAGCTGTAGCTTTTGCTTTTACATAAACAATCCCTGAGTCAAAGGAAAGTCGAAGCAATATTTGGCCTTGAGACTCCTAAGACACTTGGTCACCCTGTGAGTGGTAAACCCTAAATCCTAAACCCTCAACCGTGTGGTACACTCTCGTGTGTAGTTTAAAGCCGGTGCCTTTTTGAAGAAGCAAGGGGTTCCGGTATAAACCCTACTGAGCCCTTACATGCTGAAGCAGCCCTAACTAGAACCCACCAAGGAATCCTTCAGCGGGACCCTTTCAGGCACCTTAGCAACCCCACGAGATTGGTCGGCCTTATTCAATCCTTTCCGAACCCTTAGAAACCCCCATGCTAGAACCCTTACCTCTCAAAGGAGCCCTGAATTCATGGAGCCTCAAAACCCTAAACCCTAACTTAGTAGCAGAATGCTTCCACTTTACATTTTTTGGGGGAAACACCATACCCTCTAGAACTGCCAATGTCATTTCCTGTTTTGGGGCTTATGAACTCCGCAACGAAGCTAGAACTCCAGGAATGGAAAAAACAAACCGATTAAGGTAGTCGAATGATAAAGTCCCCTAAACCTTAAACCCTAAACCCTAGTCTAATGATTAAGGCCCCTAAACCCTAAACCCTAAACCCTAAACCCAAACCCCTAAACCCTAAACCCTAAACCCTAAACCGGCCCCTAAAGCCTAAGCCTCCAGGAGTGGAGGAATATACTTTAAATTATAGTAGGATCCCCAACTATGATTTAAGGTATATTCCTTAACTAAGGGATATTGGAGTCTCTGGGAAGCCTCCAGGAGTCCTAAACCCTATACCCTCTACCCTAAGCCCTAAACCCTAAACCCTAAGCCCTAAACCCTAAACCCTAAACCCTAAACCCTATAAGGCCCCTAAAGCCTAAGCCTCCCAGGAGTGGTCCCTGGATCTTTCCCTGGAGGGCTTGGGCGTTGCCATGCTGGAGATTCGCTTGGACTCGGGAGAGTCACATGAGGCGCGGTTTAGGGTTTAGGGTCTAGGGTTTAGGGTGTACTTTTTGGCGCCTTTTCCTAGGGATCAAAATAGCCCAAAAGCCTTATATAGTATGGTCTTTGGGCCCAAAAGCCTTAATATACGAGTCCTCAGATCCCTAGGGTTTTAAGCCGGGGCGACTGCCACTTTTTCCGTTATGTGCCATACGGTTGATGATATAAACCCTGCACTATCATCAACCCATCATGAGGAATATGCCATAATTCCCGCAGTTTTGGGTCCTTAAGGTAATGCAGGGTTTATGTATATCATCTAAACTGTACACAACTGTACTGAACTATACTAGGCCGTGCTGTACCATATACTCTACTGCACTATACTGGACTATACTATACTGTACTGTACTTGTACTATACCGTACCCAAGCATGCGATACAGTACTATGCGATTTCATACTGTACGATACTACACTAGATCATTACAGAACCATGAGTAAGGGTGCATAAGGTTTCTGGAAGGGTTTCGGGTTGGGGTCTATTCTTCCTCCTGGGTTGGGTGTTCTAGGGTGTTTTAGGGGTTTTGGTGGTTCTAAGGACTTGGGATGATTCGAAATGGGTCTTTAGATCTACAGGGCCGGGATCAGGTATTTCACGGTGTTTTTTTAGTGTTTATCGTTCAAGGATGTTTCTGGCTTGGCTAGGGTTTTCCGTTGAGGGGTGCCTAAACGATGAGCAGAGGGTTACAGGGCAGATTTTGCCCAATCGCACAAGGACGAGAGAGATAATTATTCAGCCTCTAGTGTGCCACAACTGCTTTCAGAAAGGTTTGTTTAACGAGAAGGTCCCCATAAAACCCTAAACCCTAAACCCCAAAAGACCCTAAAGCCCAAGAACCGTGGAGGTGGGCTATGGCTGCTTGAGGAAGCTGAGGGTCAAAGTGCCTCGGACCGATCGGCTCGGATGCTATGGTGAGGCTTTGAGGTTTAGGGTTAAGAGTTTAGGGTTTAGGGTTATTATGGTTTAGAGTTTAGGACTAAACCCTCAAACATAAACCCTAAAACCCCAAGTTAAGAGTTTAGGGCTAAACCCGACAACATAAACCCTAAAACCCCAAGTTAAAGAGTTTAGGGCTTAGGGCTCAGGGTTTAGGGTGTAGGGGTGCTTTGAGGGTTCTCTAACTGAGGGTCCCTGTTTAGGATTCCTCACAGGGATCTATAAGGGTTTCTAGAGGGTTTCTATAAGGGTTGAGGTTTTAGGGTTTAAGAGTTTAGTTCATTTGGCTGTTTGCTTGATGTTTTGTTTGGTTGGTTGTTTCTTTGGTTTGTTTGGCGTGTGTGAATTTGTTTGTACATATGTACGTATGTATGTATGTATGTATGTATGTATGTATGTCTGTATGTATGTATGTATGTATGAATGTATGTTTGTTTGTCGGTTTGTTTGTTTGTTTGTTTGTTTGTTTGTGTGTTCGTTCGTTGGTTCGTTCGTTCGTTCATTCGTTCGTGTGTGTGTGTGTGTTCTTGTGCTTGTGTGTGTAACCCAAAGTACATGTCATCTGTGTTGGGTGACAACCTGACTTTGACTGCTTCAGTTGTAGCAGCTTATATCAGCAAGCCACGGCCCAACAGCAGTGCAAGACTGGAATTGTGCATGCAGCTAGTGGTTTCGGTACCAGCCTGACGCGCAAGTATGTTTGTGGCTCACTTGAGTCTGCTCGGGTGACGAAGCATCGCTGCGAAAGAGGCCATGTTGATGACGACAGTATCACCCCACCGGGAGGGGCCCATCGCAGTGAAGAATGTCCTATGGGTCCTGCTTTCATCATTCGGGCCGCCACAATGCCACAGAACTGTGAAAGCGGCGGTTGAAGCGAGATGTCCTCAAGAAGCTGCTACTGGTGAAGCAGGCTTTCCGCAAGGAGCAAGCCAAAGAGGGCACCCAGTGCGTCCGCTATGATGAGATCACGATGGTTTTTTGTTCCACTAGGTGCCGGCAATCGGAAAGCTCCTTCAAAAAAATGCGTTATGACATCAAGTGCTTGGCATACATTGAGTGTACTGTCCGATGCTCGTTTACGCCCATCAGCGCTGTCAGCACGCTCAATCAGAGCCTTCGGAAGCAGCTCAAGCGGCTCCGTTACAGGAGGTGGCACTCGGCAAAGCGTCATGCCGCCCTGTATATCAGGGGTCAAAGCGACTGTGTTTGTCCCGGTCGGCGTTGGTGCATGTGCCGCACAATAAGCGTTCTCGACTTGATCACTTGGGCTTGTGGCTGTGCAAGACACTGAGTCTCCCCCGGACTTTTTTTGATCCAGGTCAGGCTCTGACATCTACTTGCAGGCACATGTCTGTTTGTGTGGGGATGAAAGCGGCCCGATTAAGCGTAAGCCCGAGCCGCTTGGACATCGGCCCACGAAGAAACGTTGAAGAAGACATTCTGATCACATGTTTTTGCCTGTGAGCCCTAAGGTTTCTTGCGTATGTGAGCACCTGCTGACCAAGGTTTCATTTGCCGATGTTTCGTGCTCATGCTTTCACACATGCAACAGCAATCCGTAGAGGGTTCAGCAGGGTGACTTTTTGCTCCCCGTTGTCGTCGACCCTGGGGCATGTAGAAACACTGACGAGATTTACGGGTTTGTCAGTATCTGCAACAACTGACAGTAACTGATGCCAATCCTGCACGTGCCCCTCGCATACAGTCATACAGCACTCGCGGCTTTGTTTTGTCCAGCCGTCGCTGATTTCATTTACCGGCCGTGATGCTTTTCAACTGAATTGCGTAAGACTGGCATAAGATACTCTGGCACAATATTCCAGAGATTACACTGTTATCAGTCTTTCGTTCGTGCAGGGGTTTTTTGCCTCACAGAAGTGGCAGCCCAACGAAGAGGCCCTTGTGATGGCACTGACATGAGTTGAGGACGCTCATGTCAAGCACTTGCCGAGAACCGTGTAGCCAAGCTGACAAGCGCTACGTTCTTCGGAAACATGTCAGTCTTTCCGTAATTCCTGAACATGTATGACATGTCTTTGTTTGGAGGTTGGTTGCGGAGAGCTTTTCGTGATCAAACATCGCAGAAGCTTAATTACTTATGATGTTTTGCATCCAGCATGGTCGCATGTTGTCTCAACATGTTCTGAAATCTGATATTGAAACTGAATAATTAACCAACCCTCGCTGCTAAACCTGTCTCTGAGTTGGCGCAGCTGCTGACACACGGTTGGTTGGTTGGTGGGTTGATCTGTTGGTTGGTGGTTTCGTTGGTCGGTTGGTTTGTTTGTGCGTTCGTTCGTTTGTTTGCTTGTTTGGTTGGTCGGTTGCTGGTGTGTTTGCTTGTTTGTTTGTTTCTTCATTGGTTTGCTTGTGTTTTGTTTTGTTTTTTGTATGTTTTGTTCTTTGTTTGTTTTTTTGCTTGTTTATTAGTTTTTTAAACATTTGCACGTTGTCATAAGTACGTACTGCGAGTACTGTGTTGATGTTGTCGGTGATGATGGTGCTAGCAGTGATACTGATGACGATTGCTGCTGCTGTTGTTGTTGCTTCACTATGAGAAATGATGCTGCGATTTATTTGTACCATTGTGGAACAACATACATTCTCAAGCAATACGTGGATTGGGAAAAACACATTTGCTGTAGAACATTTTTGCAAACTACGGTGTTCTGCAGGCTTCGCGTTGTTTCTGGGATTTTTGTGACTTGGGCTTGGGGCTTTAAATGCCGGAGGAACTGCCGAATGAAGAGTTTCGGATGCTGCAAACCCCCAAAGCCTTAAATGAAGGAAAGTGTTTCAAGATGAAGCCCACCAGTATACGGGATTTTCTTTGGTTAGGGCCTTGGGAGTCTTCGGTCTTGCTTGTTTTGTTGGCTTCGTAATGCTGATTGACGAATCCTGACAGCAAGAAGCCGTTCCTCAGTAAACCAACCAGAACCTATTGTGTTCCTAGAATTTCATTCAGTAGGGCTTATTTCATCACCTTACACAATGAAAAGCACGTATCAATGTTGACTAGAAGCCCTTGCCAAACCCTAAACCCCGAAAGCTGCAAGGTGCTCCAGCATGCCGCGAAGACGGATGTCGAGGGCCGCGCCGGTGCACTTTCTGCTGACCCCGGGCTGTGAATGTTATGGTTTACCTTAATGCTCTGACGTCTTGCTATAGAAGCTCGAAAACTTATTCATACATTTCTCTTCGGTTCCTTGTTATAATAGTGACATTAAAATATACCCAGATATACCCAAAACTATAGATTCATGAACAAACGCCCTTACATCGTGTTCACAGGTAGCTTAAAGCTTTTTGTTTCAGTTTCCAAGACCACTTCACAAAAGCATTGCAGCTTACACAAAGTTTGTGGAGTAGGGTCGTTTGTGTTCTAACCGCGCAGTGCGCGCGGGGAGGGGTTTCAATCTTGAGGCTGTGCAGGGCTTTCAGTGAAGAATGTTGCGCTTCCGGTATAGTATTCTGGTTGTTGTGTCTCAAATTGAAACACGTATAATATAATACCCAGTAGCTAAGTGAGCAGGCGTTACACCTTAATATTAACTTTCCTATAAAATTGAGAGTGTACACACTTTTGGGTTTGTGAACTCAGCAACTGAAAGTAATGTCCTTGCATATGAAGCCAGCATATCGAGGTAGCACCGGCAGAACACAAAACCCTTAGCCGCACTTGCAGCCAACAACCTTACCTGTTGAAGGACATGTATAAGGACACACAAGGATTTAGCAGAAACCCCGAAGAAAACAAAGCCTCAAATCCTACACTAAGCCCTAAACCCTAAACCCTAAACCCCTAAACCCCTAAACCCCTAAACCTTAAATCCCTAAACCCTAAACCCTAAAACCCAAACCCTAAAGTTCCTCCAAGGAAATGCAGCTCAGTTCCGCGCAGCTAGACGTGGGGCACGGACAGCGCAAGTTCATGCAAGGCAAAACGGTATAGGGTTTAGGGTTAGGGTTTGGGGGTCTCAGCTGTTTAGGATTCAACCTGTTCGTACAGGGGGGTTCCTGATGGTACGGGTTCAGAATGTTGATTGTGCGCGCAAAATGAGTTCAAATGCTTCAAGCTTTGCGAGCCTGTGCATCTGTGCCACACCAAGCGCACTAAACAGCCCTACACCTGTACAGTCTATGAACCCTTGAAACAAAAATCATACATGAACCTCGAAGGGTCTGCGGAAGGCGGAATGCTGCCCTCGGGAGTAAGGGGTTTCGGGTTGTGACACTTTAGCCAGGAAGTGCGAGGTTGCCAGAATCCATGGAACAAACATGACAAACATCTTTGCGAAACCCTATAATAGGTCCTAAACGAGGCTTTGTCCCAGAAAGACCCTGAAGCTTAAAGTCAAAATCCCACCCTCTGAACCATGAACCCTAAACCCTCACTCCTGAACCCAAGATCCTCGAAAATCCTAAACCCTAAGCCCTAAACCCTAAATCCATCAACAAAGCGCAGGCAAAGACTTTCACGCGATCTTGCGGCCTTTCTCCGGTCCCCTCCAGCACCTCGGCGTGCAGCTTTCGACCTCTAGTCGCAATACTAGAGTGGCCTTTATAGGGGGCCTTAATAATTAGAAGAGGGTTTTGGGGCCCATTGCCCCGCAAAATGGCATTGATAATTATCTAGGCCCCTGCATTAGATCTCTGTTTCAAGTTTTGACTCCGGACTTTGGGATAAATCTTAGATGGGCTTGTCAGGGCCAAAGCCCTAAACCCTCGAACCCTGAACCTTTGAACCCTGAATCATAAAGCCTTTTTTCAGTTTCTAACACCCAACGCACCAGAAACCCCCCAAAACCCTAAACCCTATAAACCCTAAAACCCCAAAAACCCTATAAACCCTCAACCTTGCGGACCAAATGACCCTTATAAGTAGGGGCCCTATACCCTTACACTATGAATCCCTTTTTGGTATATGAATCATTTCGTCCTTCAGGAAACCCTATGAAGCCCTAAACCCTAAACCCTCTAAAGCCCTGAACCGTAAACCCTAAACCCCTAAACCCTAAACCCTAAACCCTAACCCCCAAACCCTATAAACCCCTAACCCCTAAACCCTAAACGGTAAACCCTAAACCCTAAACCCTAAACCCCTAAACCCTAAACCCTAAACCCTAACCCCCAAACCCTATAAAGCCCTTAGCCGTGCCAGGATCCTCTCAGACGAGACGGGCGAGCCGCCGCCTCTGATCCATTTCGAAGCGATGCGACTCGGCCGGTCATTTTGGGGAGCCGCTCGTTCGGGGGGCTCCTTTTTAGGAAGCCTTTTGAGGTTTCCCTTTAGGGGGTTTAGGGTTTAGGGGTTTAGGGGTTTAGGGGTTTACGGGTTTAGGGGTTTAGGGGTTTAGGGGTTAATTAGGGTTGATGTTTGGGGGTTTGGCGGTTTTGGGATTTTGATTTTTGTTGTAAGTGGCTAGAGGGACGCATTGGCTGGCTCTTTGCTTGGTGCAGAGCACTCGGCAGTCTATGCGCAACTTGTAGCAGAGTCCCTCAATGACGATCGTTTCAGCATCCAGCAGTTCCAGACAGAGTCTTGGGTTTGGAGGTATACGGGTAACTCTCTAAATTAGGGTCCCTTTTTGGGTCCCCAATATGGTACGGCACCCTTGTAAAAAGGACCCAACAAGGGACCCTAATTTAGAAAACTACCCATAAGGGTACAAAACCCACAGTCCTCTTGGAGGTAAGTGCTGCAAGCTGAGCACCCTTGAGTCCAAGGGCCTTGCTGTGTTCAGGTTGAAGTTCGTGAATGAGAATCACGACGGCGAGCAGGAGGCATTTCGGGAGCCTAAACCCTAAACCCTAAACCCTAACCCCTAAACAATAAACCCTAAACCCTAAACCCTAGACATCCCTAAACCCTAATCCGCAAATTGTCGCTTGCTTCCTTGTGTGGTGGGGGCGGGGGCTGTTTGAGTTCAGGGCTTCAGGGTCGAGGCTGTAAGGTCAAGGTTTAAGGAGGCCGGCAAGAACCTCAATATACAAGTCGGGCAAAATCTGCCCCTTACATAACTATCATAGGTAATTACTCCAGAAGTCCCATTCCAAGAGGGTCCATCGAGGCTACCGCAACGACTCTCGAAAAATCATAGCGGGCCTGGCCTTTATGCGACCACCCTAGACCCTAAACCCCAAACCCTAAACCCTAAACCCTAAACCCCTGAACTTAGGGCTCAGGGTTTAGGGCTTAAGATTTGAGGTATTATGAGGTGCCCTGGGATTTAGCGTTGTTGGTATAGGGTTTTGGGTGTTCACTTTTGGGTTTCAAGCAATGCTCGCAGTCTTTGCTCGAGACGCAATTGCACGGCGAGCCTCATTCGGACTCGCTGGTTTTCATGTTTTGCTTCTAAACCCTAAACCCTAAATTAAGGTCATTCAGCGTAGCCTTCGAACCGTAAATCCTAAGCCTTTAGCTCTTATCTATAACCCTAAACCCTCACCAAGCCCGATGCCCCCAAACCAAAAGCAGTAGAGGTCAGAAAAAACACCACCCTGCGATCGAGGTTAATATGGGAGTCTGAATAGTTGTTAACGTAGGCGCCTTAATAATTTGAATAGGGTCTTGGTGTATATGATACCATACTTATAATTAGGAACCTCCAAAATAGTATTGATAATTATTTAGGCCCCTCTGTTAGTCTTCCCTCACATTCCCCTCGTAATCAGACCGTAATATACCCCTAAACCCTAAACCCTAAACCCTAAAACCCTAAAGCCCTAAACCCTAAACCCTACCCCCAGCATCCCGTTCGGCATGCCCTAGAATAGAACGCCTGCTGAGCCCGGTAAAGCCCGAAGTGTCGCGAACTCCATTCTCCAAGCTGAATCACCCCTAAGCCCCAAATCCCTAAACCCCAAATCCCTAAACCCTAAGCCCTAAACCCTAAAACTCTAAACCCTAAACCCTAAACCCCAAACCCCTAAACCCCTAAACCCGACCCCTAAACCCTAACCCCCTTAGACCCTATAAAGCCCAAGCCCTAACCCTCACCTTTGAATCCTGCACCCTAAACCCTAAACCCGAAGCCCTAACCCCTAAACCCTAAACCCCTAAACCCCTAAACCCGAACCCCTAAACCCTAACCCTCACCTTTGAATCCTGCACCCCTCGTTGCTTTCCAGGGAATCAGCAAGTGCCGAGAGGGGTCAACGCACTACGAGGCAAAGCTGAGCTGATGTGGCGCTGCAGATCCGGGTAGAGGGTGATTCAGGGGTTTAAGGATTTAGGGATGTTTAGGGTTTAGGGTGTAGGGATGTTCAGATAGGATGGAGGGTTGAGGGTTTAGGCTTTAGTTTCGGGATGTTTAGGGTTCAGGGCTTAGGGTTTAGGGATGTTTAGGGTTGAGGGTTTAGGCTTTAGGGTGTAGGGATGTTCAGGGTTGAGGGTTTGGGTTTAGGGTGTAGGGTTTAGGGTTTCGGCCCCTAAAATAGTATGGCACCCTCATAAGAAGGACCTTAAAAGGGGGATCCTAATTTGGAGAACTAGCCTCGTGGCTTTGCGGGTTCTGGTTTTGGATGCAGTAGGCTTTACGTTTTGCGGCTGTAGGTGAGTGTGAACATTGGACGTGGTAATTTTCGGGTGTTAAGGGGCATACTAGCAGCACAGGAGCCTTCTTCAAGAGGTGCTCGGGGCTTAGGGTGTGGTGTTTAGCCTGAGGGGCGAGTGGCGCGTATCGTCTTCCTTAGACATATCTCGCCGGGACTGGAACCATAACCTCAAATTTTCAATTCTTAGCCCAAAGCCCGAAACCCTAAAACACCAAAACCCGAAACCCTGTATGGCCCAATACCCTAAACCCTAAACCCGAAGCCCAGACTGACTATAGACCCGAAGACCCGAAAACCTAACCCCCCCCCCCTTCTACGAGACCCTAAACCGTAGCCCATGCAAGGTCCAGGCTTGTTCGGCTTCCGGGCACGACGGGTTTAGGGTTTTGTGGCTTTTGGGTTTTAGGGTTTAGGGTTTAGGGTTTTGGTTTAGGGTTTAGGGTTTAGGGTTTAGGGTTTTCGGTTTTGGGTTTAGGGTTTAGGGTTTAGGGTTTAGGTTTTGTGGTTTTCAATTTTAGGGTCTCTACATCACCGGCAGAAGAGTTTCGACATATCGAGGAGAGTCTCAACATGCGAAAAACATATGCCGCGGAGAAGTGGAGACCTAATCCAACCAGTACAGTATGAACTGACAGCACTAACCCCTTAACAGCCTTTTCACAATCCTTGCAGAGCCTTTAAAACAACCATTAAGGTAAAAGCCCCCTATTTTTATATGATGGTTCGACATGTAATTTCCCGCAAAGAGGGTGTGGTGTTCAGCTCTCATAAACGGGCTCATGGTAGCAGGTGATCGGCCTCTAAGTTTAGGAGTCACTTCCTCCCGAAACCCCAAAGCGCCCATACCCTAAACCGGAAATAAGGTGAAGAAACCTAAAGCCCAAACCCTAAACCGGAAATAAGGTGAAGAAGCCTAAAGCCCAAACCCTATACCGGAAATAAGGTGAAGAACTCTAAACCCTAACCCCTGAACCCTAAACCCTAATAGGTGAAGAACCCTAAACCGTAAACCCTAAAAGGTGAAGAGCCTTAAACCCTGAACCCTCAACCCTAAACCCTAATAGCTGAAGAAGCCTAAACCCTAAACCCTAAAAGGTGAAGAACCCTAAACCCTAACCCTGAACCCTAAACCCCAAACCTTAAAAGGTGAAGAACCCCAAACCCTGAACTCTAAACCCTAAACCCTGAACCCTAAATTTTAACCCTAAATCGTACACCCTAAAAGGTGAAGAACCCTAAACCCTGAACCCTAACCCCTAAACTCTAACAGCTGAAGAAGCTTAAACCCTAAACCATAAAGGGTGAAGAAGCCTAAACCCTGAACCCTGAAGCCTAAACCCCAAATCTTAAAAGGTGAAGAACCCTAAACCCTGAACTCTAAACCCTAAACCCTGAACCCTAAATCAAACCCTAAACCCTAAACCCTAAAAGGTGAAGAATCCTAAACCCTAAACCCTGAACCCTAAACCCTAATAGCTGAAGAAGCCTAAACCCTAAACCCTAAAAGGTTAAGAACCCTAAACCCTGAACTCCAAGCCCTTAACCCTGAACCCTAAATCAAACCCTAAACCCTAAACCCTAAAATGTGAAGAAGCCTAAACCCTAAACCGGAAATAAGGTGAAGAGCCCTAAACCCTAAACCCTGAACCCTAAACCCTGAACCCTGAACCTTGAACCCTAAACCCCAAAAGGTGAAGAAGCCTCTACCTTGGGGACCAAATGACCCTTATAAGTAATGGGCCCTATACCCTTGTACTATGAACCCCTATATTTTATATGAACCTGAAACCCTTTTAGGGATCATTTCGTCCTTCGGGCTTACCCTAAACCCTAAACCCTAAACCCTAAACCCTTAACCCTAAACCCTAAACCCTTAACTGCAGGTCCGGAAGTTGGAGCTCAGAGCGCAGCCCGTCGGGCTCCAAGTGGAGACGGCACTCCTGGCGGAGGCGGGGCCGGGGGGTCGAAGGAGCGTTTAGTTTTTTTTTTTTTTTTGGGTTTAGGGGGCGAGATAAGCTGAAGGAGCGTTTAGGGTTTTGGGGGTTTAGGGGGCGAAATAAGGTGAAGGAGTGTTTTTGGTTTTGGGGGTTAAGCGCGTTTAGGGCTTTTGGGGTTAAGGGGGCGAAACAAGCTCAAAGACGGTTTAGGGTTTGGTGTTTATGCGGCGAAACAGGCTGAGAGAGTGTTTAGGGTTTTGGGGGTTTAGGGGGCGTCAGTAGTCAGAATAGGATTTGCGTTCATAGGTTTCACAAGCGTGTCGGATGGCAGGTTGACAGGGGTTGACCTCAGGAGCTGTGGGTCTTCATGGTGTTGAGTGTGGAGACCTTGAAGGTAAGTATGGGGCTTGTAGAAGTGTTTCTGAAAGGTTTTATGATCTTTGATCGGGCTTTATTGGGTTTCACAGGAGTCTCATACGATTGAATGTAAAGGCCTTGGTGCTTAATGTATTAGTGTTTGGCTGTCGTTTTTTCTCATATGGGCCTTGATTTGGCTTTATACTCCTATGTAGTATTAGGGAGACCCCTTAAAGGGGACCCTTCTCAACCCTACTGATGGCCCTCTTAGAAGGGACCTTATTGAGAGGATCTATATCCCCAAGGGGTCCCCCTAAGCCTAACTCCTCTATAGGGGCTTCACAGGGTTTTTTGAAGAGAAGCCTTGACCGGTAGAACAGGGTTTCAACAGGTGTCGAGTGTTCGTGAGGCCAGGTGGGGCCGGGCGGGGAAGGGTGCGACGGGGGGCAACTTCGCAATGGAACTACGCTGCATAACTTCCTTAGGCGATGCAGTCGTCTAAACCCTAAACCCTAAACCGTGGCGGTAGAGTTGAGGCTAAACAAGAATGTCAGAAAGCTGGATGGACAGACTAGGGGACAGAACGGAGTGCCGTGTACACTGGTGCAGCAGTATCTAAAGCGAATTTCGTAGCAGGATAAGATTCCCGAAGTTAAGCCGACCCCAAACCGTTCCCAAAACCCTGAACCCTCTGGCAGGTGGTGGTTTGGGTCCTGGAGCTGTGTGGCGCTCAGGACTTTCGTGGTTTCAGGTGGGTGCTGAGGCTACCGATGTTTTGCGTGTTTGGGGGGTGTCGGCTTATAGTTCAGGCATGGCTTTGCGGGTTTAGGGGTTTAGGGTTTAGGGTTTACGGATTCGGGTATAGGAACCAAACCCTAAACCCTTAAACCCTAAATCCCAAATCGCACCCATAGGGTCCATGCAGGGTTCCTGGCTCAAGCTTGCAAATATCGGGGCCTCAATAATTGCCTATACTATTTTGGGGGGTTCCTTATTAGGATTATAGTACAGTGGGCCCCCAAACCCTATTCTAATTATTAAAGCCCCTACATTACTTAATCTATATATATATATATATATATATTTATTTATTTATATTATATATATATATATATGTATTTATATATATATATATATACAAATATACACATACATACACCCCACAACCCTGCTCCAAGGGGCCCTTAGATTACGTGCGCAAGGACTTCGTCGCTGTGGCGTAGTTCCGATATGCTTTGCGCAGTGTACTTGATGTTGGTCGTTGCACAGCATTCGTCGGAGCCTTGATACTTCACGCCCTGAACCTTGGGGGCCAGATGACCTGTATAACTAAGGCGCCCTATACCCTTACACACTACTGTTGATAATATAGGTCCTGCATTACCTTAAGGACCCTAAACTATGGGAATTGTGGCATATTCCTTATTATGGGTAATGTCGGATTTATATCAACCGTGTGAATCCCGTATATGGTATATGAACCTGAAACCTGTGTAGGCGTCATTTTGTCCATAAGGACCAAACGCCCTCGCGGTAGTAAATCTCCTAGGAAACACCCCCAAAAGAGTCCCTCTAAGTCTAGGACATTTTCAGCTGGGTAGTTACCGTTATAGGAGCCTTATAGAAGGTCTATATACCTTATAGAAGCCCTATATACGCTAAACTCCCCACCTGTCGTTTCCTTTAATCTAAGCAGCCACTGAGACCCTGAACGACCTAAACCTCAAACCCCAAAGCCCTGAAGCACTGGACCTAGTTAAACCATAAACATAAAATCCATATCCCTAGAGCCCCTAGTGCGTTCTCAAACCCCATATATAAAACCGAAATCCATCAAACACAGCACTTACGGTCAAGACCCTGAACCCTAAACCTCCAAACACCAAAGAAAGCACCTAAGTACCCTCAAAACCTTAAACCCTAAACCCTAAACCCTAAACCCTCAGGTGCAGTGCTCTCAAGTCCCAGAAGCTTCGCGCGGAGAGCGTCGCAGAGCAGCTGGCGCAGTCTCTGGATGCGGAGGACGACTTTGGGTTTAGGGTTTAGGGTTTAGGGTTTAGGGTTTAGGGTTTAAGAGCCCAGGGTTTGCGGTTTAGATGGGGTTTAGGGTAGAGGGTTAGAGGGCTTGGGGTTTATAGGGTTTAGGGGGACGGTTTTGGATGGGTTTAGGGTTTATGGGGTTTAGGGTATGGGGCTTAGGGTTTATAGCATATAGTGATTAGGGCTTAGGGCCTTGTAGGGTTCTCCTGCAGGGCAGCTCCCAGCGGTTTTTCAAGTTTCAAGTGTCTTACCAGTCTATGTTGCTTAATATAGGGGCCTTAATAATTCGAATAGGGGTTTGGGGGGGTATACTATACTATAATTGTAATAGGAGCCCCCCAAAACACTATTTCTAATTTATTAAGGCACCTACATTAATTCAAGTAGAGTTTGCGGAGTTTTAGGTTGAACGCTCAAGAACCCAAAGAACTATACACTGCTAATGCGAAACCCCTAAATCCTAAACCCACAAAAACCCCTAAACCCTAAATCCACCAAAAACCCTAAACCCTAAACCCACAAAAAAAAAAAACTAAACCCCTAAAGCCTAAACCCACAAGAAACCCCTAAACCCCTACAGCGAGAGGAGTTCGAGTGTTTCAGGGAGGACACTGCGCTCGTGGACCTTTTGTACCGCCACTTGGGGGAGCTTTTGGAAAATATTTGAAAGGCTTCGTTTACTTAGTTCTCCAACACCCAACCTTTAACATTTTTGGGCTTACGTATAATGTAGTAGCAATCTGAAGTTTAGCCAGTTATTTCCTTGGGTTATTGAGCAAATAAGTTTCTGAGCTCCTGTAAAGAACCCCTCACAAGAACTTGAAGTTCTGGCAGAGCCCTTTGAAGGAACCCCTGATATTTTTCTCTTCAAGTCAGGCTTCAAGAAAGCAAGGATGAAGTACCAATAATGACGGCCTGCAAGCCTACGGAGCCCCGCAAGCCATCATGCATACAATATGCCATCTTCAGGTTAAACCAGAGAGGACCCGAACCGTGAGCTAAGTAGTCAGGCCCCTGCATTACATGCGTTTCATAACCCTAAACCCTAGGCCCTAAACCCTAAACCCCAAGCCCTAAACCCTATTCATGTCGTTGCGGACCTTAGGCGAGCCGCGATGCGTGCGGGATCCGACGGCCGAGCATTTCCGGGATCTGACCCCCTTGCGGCTGAGTGGAACTGATATTCCAGGGCTTGGTACTTTAAGGGTTTAGGGTTTAGGGGTTTGGGTTTCGGGTTTGGGGGTTTATAGGGTTTGATACTTTAAGGGCGAAATGAACCCTAAAAGGGTTTCAGGTTCATATAAAATATAGGGATTCATAGTGCAGGGGCAAAGGGCCCATTACTTATAAGGGTCATTTGGTCCCCAATGTAAGGACTCTGTAGGGGGTTGTAGAGGTAATGTAATATGGGTAGAGAAGGGTAGTATATATAGGGTCTGAACAGAAGACATAGTATTGCTTAGGCTTCATATCTTGTACGTATATACTCTTCTTCTAAGTGCTAGGCGTGTTTAACTAACGGCTTTGGGTTCGGGCTCTCCGGTTTTAGCTACTAAGCCCTAAACCCTAAAAGCCTAAACCCCCGCTTTTAGCGAATCTTGTTTACTACTGAGCATTGAATCTGGAGCTTCATGGGTCTCATCCCACGGTTTAGGCATTAGGGTTGAGGGTTTAGGCGCAGTCCTTTTTTGGTAGTGGGAGGGTGTAAAGTTTACCTGTTTGGTAGTGGGAGGGTTTAGAGGTTTAGAGGCCGGTGTTTGCAGTCATTGGACGGTGGTGTTTGAGCTTGTAGGTCAGGGGGTGTAGGTTTTTGGCGTGCAGGGATTGGCTTTAGGGCCATGGTTTTAGGGTTTAGGCCTGTACAAGGCATGCTTGGTTCTGAAGAGCATGTCCCCTGTGCCGAAAAGTTGTCTGTATTGATGTTTTGTGCTTTAGGCTTTGGTTTCGCGGGTCTGGTCGTCCTAGGTATGTCCCATGAAGTGTGGTGCCTATAGCATATTGTGCTAGGTAGTATTCTGAAGACTGGGCTTTGAAGTCGCGTTAAGGGGAAACGGAGAAGCTAGTTCCACACGATGCTGTGGTGCCATATGAGGATTCGTGTTGCAAGCGGCTTCTGGCGTGCATAGCATGTCCCCCCCCTACTTCGCCCAAGTCATGCACCCGGGGCAGTCTGGTTTCAGGGTTTCAGGGCTTTCAAACCCCTTCAGAATCTGAATGCTTCTGCATTACTGTGGAACATACCCCAAGCGTCCCTTCCGAAGAGCAGTGCGTCCTGAATCACTATACCGAAAACCTGTCTAATTACGGATATACAGACGAAGAGCATATGCATACCTGTAGATGCAGAAATGTATACATACTACTCACAAGTGCTTACATAGGCACATATTTGCCGGGAGAACTGAAACCCTTACAACCAGTCTCTGTAGTTAGTGATGATTGTCGCACCCCCTTTTGACTCCTGCGAACAAAGGATGATTCGAGAGCTGACGCTGAGACGGATTTGTTGCGTCCTCTCACTGCTCGTCACTCAGCTTCTGCCACCTTACAGTAGGCCCTACATTAGAAACCCAGCAAGGACATAAGCAGAAGCATTCTATAGGGATATCCCTGCCTTATTGGGCTTCATTATAAGGGGGTTTATATGGGATATCCCTATCCTAATGTTTGCTTACCCTAAACCCTAAACCCTAAACCCATTTAAAATTTATGTGCTTACTTGGGGCCCCACAGCCCCGAACAACCTCAGATGTGTTCCCGACACCATCTCGGCAGCCCAAGATGGCCTCATCCTTGGGGACCAAATGACCCTTATAAGTAATGGGCCCTATACCCTTAGACCCTTATAAGTAGGGTTTAGGGTTTAGGGTTTAGGTTTAGGGTTCAGGGCCCTATACCCTTATACTATGAATCCCTATATTGTTTATGAACCTGAAACCCTTTTAGGGATCATTTCGTCCTTAAGGATTAGCCTGAGAATGTAGGGGCCTAAATAATTACCTATACTATTTTCGGGGGGGTCCTTATTATGATCATGGTATAAATCGCTCCCCAAAGCCCTATTCTAAGTATTAAGGCCCCATATTACAGTAGAATCTTTGGGCCCGAACCTCATGGGATGATCGGATGAGGCCTTTTGCAGAGCCTTAGGGCCTTAGGGGAACCCACCCAGGCTGCAGCGTCATCATGGGTACCTTATTTAGGGGTCCTTATAATCAGGATCCCACTATTTAGGCTGCTATAATAGGGTCCCTCGCGTGTCGGAAACCACAACCCAGAGTCATAGAATTTTAGCGGGGAGAGCCCCGCCTAGCCCTCCTTGGGGACCAAATGACCCTTATAAGTAATGGGCCCTATACCCTTATACTATGAATCCCTATATTTTTTATGAACCTGAAACCCTTTTAGGGATCATTTCGTCCTTAAGGCCCCCTCCCGATGTATCAGCTTGCTGAGCTTTGTTTCGGTGGTGTCAAATGTGCCGCGCTTCAGCCCCTAAACCCTCCTTAAGGACGAAATGATCCCTAAAAGGGTTTCAGGTTCATAAAAAATATAGGGATTCATAGTATAAGCTTATAGGGCCCATTGCTTATAAGGGTCATGTGGTCCCCAAGGCTAAACCCTAAGCTGGTTTACCCGGGCGAGGGATGCGATGTTCTCTTCGATCGGGCCTTCTAAAAGGGTTTCGATGGAGGGCCGTGAAAGGCTCGGTTGAGTAATGTAGGATTTAGGGTTTAGGGTTTAGGGTTTAGGGTTTAGGGTTTAGGGTTTAGGGTTTAGGGTTTAGGGTTTAGGGTTTAGGGTTTAGGGTTTAGGGTTGAGTAATGTAGGAACCTGATTAAGAAACCCTGGGGCCCTTCCACCCCAGTTGAGGGTCTAGGTGTTTAGGGGCTTGGGGTTTAGGTGTATAGGGGGTTTAGGGTTTAGGGTTTAGGATTTTAGGGGCTTGGGGTTTAGGGGTGTATAGGGGGTTTAGGGTTTAGGGTTTAGGGGTTTAGGGTTTAGGGTTTAGGGTTCAGGGATTCGGCCAGTATACTAGGATTCATATATAAAGAACCCTAGCAAAACACCCAAGGTTTCTTAATCAGGTTCCTGCACTACTATTTTTCCTTCTCGAGGTTTGCCAATTTGAATGCCCCTAAACCCTAAACCCTAAACCCTAAATTTCCCTTAAACCCTAAACCCAAAACCCTGAACCCAAAACCCTGAACCCTAAACCCTAAACCCCAAACCGTGCCAGTTTCTGAACTCGGAGTGGACTTCCCAAACCTTGGGGAGCAAATGGCCCTTAGAAGTAGGGGGCCCCATACCCTCAAGGACGAAATGGACCCCAAAAGGGTTTCAGGTTCATATAAAGAAATAGGGATTCATGGTATAGGGGTATAGGGCCCATTACTTATAAGGGTCATTTGGTCCCCAAGGACCCTCATACTATGAATCACTATATGGTATATGAACCTGAAACCCTTTCAGGGTTCATTCGTCCTTAAGGAAGACAAGAATTTCCGGAGCCCTGTAAAGACCCCCTAGTAGAACCCGCCACAAAACCCATGCAGAACCTTTTGTCTAGTAAACCCTCGTAGAAATCTTTGACGGTATTGTCAGATTCAGCAGCACCCTGGCAGATCTGTATCAGCCCTAAACCCTAAACCCTAAACCCTAAACCTCACCCAAAGGCTAAAGCCCTAAACCCTGAACGGCCCTAAACCGGAAGCCTTAAACCCCAACAAAACCCTAAACCCTCAACCCTACGCCCTAACCCCTATAACCCTATAACCCTAAACCCTGAACCCTAAACCCTTAACCCTATAACCCTAAAAATCCTAAACCCTGACCCTAAACCCTATAACTCCTATACCTATAAACCCTGAACCTTGACCCTCAACCCTATAACCCTATAACCCTATAATCTGACCCTATAACCCTATAACCGTAGACCCTATGACCCTATAGCCCTAGACCCTAACCCCTATAACCCTAAACCCTATAACCCTCAACCCTACACCTTAACCCCTATAACCCTACAAGCCCTAAACCCTAAACCCTATAACCCTCAACCCCACACCCTGAACCCCTATAGCCCTACAAACCCGAAACCCTAAACCCTAAACCCTAAACCTTAAACCCTAAACCCTAAACCCTGGCCCTAAACCCTATAACCCTTTAACCTATAACCCTATGACCTATAACCCTATGACCTATGACCTTATAATAACCCCATAACCTATAAACCCGAAACCCTAAACCCTAAACCCTAAACCCTGGCCCTAAATCCCTATAAGCCGGAAGACTCCAGGAGCTTTACAGGCACGGGCTCCTGGAACGCAGAGATGAAGGAGCAACTTCAGGCACTTGAGCTCCTCGGACGGCTCTGGAGGGTTTTAGGGTTCAGGGTTTATAGGGTTTAGGGTTTAAGGGGTTAGGGTATAGGGTTTAGGGTTTAGGGTTCAGGGTTTGGGCTTAAAGGGTCTAGGGTTTAGGCTTTAGCGTTTAAGGGGTTACGGTTCAGGGTTTAGGGTTCAGGGGGTTTAGGGTTTAGGGCTTCAGGGGTTTAGGGTTTGAGGGTTTAGGGTTTAGGCTCCTGAGTAGTACTCTTTGGCCCCTCTTCTTTTGGAGGTCTCCTAGCCAAAACCGAATACTGTAGGAAAAAAGGTACCCTTACTATTTGGGGGCTTCCGAAAATAGGGGACCCTCATCTAGTACCCTAAATAATAGGATCCTTATTATAAGGACCCCTAAATAAGGTACCCCTTATTTTCGGAAACTCCCATTTACGGGTCACTCGGGAACCTGGGGGTGTTGGGTTTGCTTTCTTGAGTTTCCTGTTGCAAGGCTTGCTTAGCGTGTCTTGAGGGCTCTTCAGGGGCTTGATGTAGGGGCCCTAACAATTAGAATGCGGTTTTGGGGGGGTTCCTTATTTCAACCGTAGTATAATCGACACCAAAACCCCATTCTAATTAGTAGGGCCCCTTCATTAGGGCTTAGGGGTTGTGTTATTAGACTTCCTGAAAGGGTCTCATAGGATCGTACAGGGTGTTGGGGGTTTTGGCTCGTTTGGGGGGCCGTTACAGAGTTTAGGATTTAGGGTAAACCCTAAACCCTAAACCCTAAACCCTAAACCCTAAACCCTAAACCCTAGAGGCCCTGCATCTCCTCGGACGTCTCTTTTGGTGGCCTTTGGAGGGTTTTGGGTTTTGGGGTTGCTTTTGATTAAGGGTTGCTTTGGAGGGTTCCGTTTAGGGGTTCCGTGCGAGGCTTCCCTTCTCAGGGCTTCTTTGTAATAGGGTTGCTCTTAAGCGGTTTAGGGTGTCCTTCTTGTGGGAGGGTTTATGGTGTGTCAAAGGTTCGCTCTGTAGAGGCCGGTAAATACCGCCAACACCCCCTTCTGATTCTTGTAAGGCCCCTACACATTATTTGGAGGGCGTTGGTAAAACCTGAAAACCCTAAACCCTAAACCCTAAACCCTAAACCCTAAACCCTAAACCCTAAACCGTCCGACGTCTGAGGATGCTGCTTCGACTGACACTGCCGCTGGACGTTCACCAGGCCCCGGGCCGAGACAGTCAGGAACCCCAAAAGGGCATAAGTATAAGCATTTCATAGGGATATCCCTACCTTACTGGGCTTCATTATAAGGGGATTCATATGGGATATCGCTATCCCATTTTTTTGCTTATGTGCCTTTTTTGGGCCCTAGCTTGAGGATTTAGCATTTAGGCTTTTACCCACAGCCCCATGCCCTCCGCAGTGAGAATGAGACCCCTAAACCCTATGAGACTTATGACTGTTTAAGCCCAATATATAACGACCTGCCCTAAATTCTATAAGCCTTAAACGCCAACAACTATTCCACAAACCCTAAACCACCTAATGACTCACATAGTTGCCAACCAAGATCCTCAAACCTTAAACCCCATACGGACCCGATAAGGCCTTTACAAGAACCATATATCGAGCCCCTTTCAAGATCCTTTCGCCCTAAACCCAAACCCTAAACCCTAAACCATACGAAGCCATTCAGAAGAACCTCTACACTCTAAGCCCAAACCCAAAACCCTAAACAATACAAAGCCTTGAAAGCCTTACATAGCAGAACCCCTACACCTAAAACCCGAAACCCCTAAACCCTAAACCCTACAAAGCCTTCAAAGCCTTATTTAGAAGAACCCCTGCACCCTAATCCCCAAACCCTAAACCCTACAAAGCCTTTTAAAGCCGTTAGAAGAACCCCTGCACCCTAATCCCTAAACCCTAAACCGCCTATAAACCCTGAACCCTATATAAATCCTATAAGACCCTAAACCCTATAAGCCCTAAAAGCCCTAAAACCCTAAAGCTTTGAGAAGAAGCCTTGTAGACCTCGCGGAAGGCCCTAAACCCGAAACCCTAAACCCTAAACCCTAAACCCCTTGTAGACCTCGCGGGAAGGCGCGGCTGATGCTTGGGAAGATCCACTTCGGCTGGCGAGGGCCAGCGGTTCGAGATCTCTCAGCATCCCGCCGGCCCTTAAGATCAGCGGTTTAGGGTTTAGGGTTTAGGGGTTTAGGGTTTAGGGTTTAGGGTTTAGGGTTTAGGGTTTAGGGTTTAGGGCCCTTAAGAGCGTCTTAAGGTCTTCGGGATTAGGAGTTGAGGCTTCTCTGGCCTTCGGAACGTCTTAGGGCTTTAGGGGTTTTGGGGACTATGAGTTTAGGGTTTCGGGGTTTAGGGGTTTAAGGGTTTATAAGTTCTAGGAGCGGAGGGTTCTGTAAATTAAAGTGCTTTGGGCCTTTGATGTGGGGTCTACCTCGGGGCCCATCTGCCCCCGGAAACAGGTTTGAGGTCCAATTAATGAAGGAGTCCTAGAGTAGTATAAGGATGTAGGCTGCTTTTAGGGCTCATCTGAATTTCTGGTATTCGTATCCACGTACGGTCCCTACTATACTTTACTTATACTTGTCATTCTATGGTAGTGCCATAAAACCTTTCATTTGTTCAAGACGAACGGCAAATGGGCCACTGGCATCAGTCGCGGAGCTTGGCTCCGTCGCACGAACGCAGGTGCGCAAGAGGCGCGAAGAGATATCCTTGGGGACCAAATGACCCTTACAAGTAATGGGCCCTATACCCTTGTACTATGACTCCCTATATTTTAGATGCCCTTTTATATGAACCTGGAACCCTTTTAGGGATCATTTCGTTCTTAAGGATGACTTTGAAGGAGCGAGCATGCATCGGCGTGGCTGTATGGGCCAGCTCACAGAAAGGGAAATCCAGGGGAAACCCTAAACCCTAAACCCTCAGAGGCCCCAATAACAGGCTCCTCCTGGTAAGAATTCTACTGTACATGCAGTTGGAAAAGAGCCCATAAACGAAACAAAAACTCAAAGTGTTGGCGAACATGTTGCATCATCCGGGAAATGTCTGTGCCGGGATGCTGGAGAAGATCAATTTCTCGGCCTTCGGCTGGTATGAAGTCGAAGTGGAGCAGTCGGGGCATCCTCCTATAAGCCCTATTCTCTGAACCCCCAAACCCCTAAACCTTACCCTAA